GGAATGAGCTCGAAGGGCAGGGGGACAGCCCCGCGAGACTTCACTCCCCCTCTGCACCCAGACACAGCCCCTCTGCTTTCATTTTGGCCTATCGGGCAGCTGTTAAAGACAAGAGGAGAGGCCCGCGCTGGTCACCCGGCCAGACGTGCGACGCTCCTTCGGGGATGCCAGCGAGCATCGGCCGGCCACGCCGACGGGGCTGCTGGCCCTGCAGCGGAAGGCGGCTTTTCGGGTCAGGGCCACCGCTCCACGACTCTGCGCGCACGCGGCCCCCTTCCCAGCCCGGATGAGATGATGCAGCTCGCGAATTTCAAGTGCAAAGACGCCGCACACCCAGGCCTCACCGCGAGGCTCCTGCACGCTGACTAAAACGGCGAAACCAGCCCGCTTTTGACAGCGAGAGGCCTTTGCTGCGAGTCCTTGACAAAGCTGCTCGGGCTTGCAGGGAGGGGAACAAAACGGGGGTCGGGCAGAACTGGGGTGTCACACCCCAGGAAGCCAAGAAAGGGAACAGGGAGGGGGCAGCCTCCCGGATCCTGTGTGGCACCTTAATCAACCAAGCGGATTCTGCCCGTAGCCGCTACCCCGATGCTGCTCCGCTCTGCCTGGGGCCGCCGCACAGGCCGGGCGCTCTCGCCCTCCTTCTGCCCGTTTGTCTTCGCAGGAACTGGAAGTGAAGTCCTTTTCAAAAGCATTAACATCACTCAGTGCATGACGTGTTTTTGGGTTTTTGTTTAAAAGTGGTTGTCGCGGCGCCACCCCCCGTTTTCCAGGGCGAGAGCCCCCTCTCTGCAGGTGGGAGGGTGGGGTCCCCCAGCTGTGCCCTGCACAAAACGGGCAGATGTGGCGCTGAAGGCTGACAGCCGCTCGGGCGAAGGGGGCGCCTGTCCCCGGGAGAGATGTGCACCCTGCTTCTCCCAGGAGCACGGAGAGGGGACCTTCTGTGGGGGCCCTCTTGTTCCTCTTTGCAAACCCCGCAATTTCTTCTTGCGATGGAGTCACGTCTCAGAGGGCGACTGCGGCAGGCAGGTCAACACACGGCCCAGGCGAGCAACGGGGGCCTGCACAGATCGGGGGTGGGGGGCGATGAGCGGCCCCCGGCCATCTTCCGAGTGCCGCTGGCCGAGCGGCAGCCGCAGGGCGGGGTGGAGCCCCTCTGCTCCCCAGGCATGAGCCCCAGCAGCCCCTCCAGGATGCTGCCCCCCCCGGCTGGTCCTGCCCCTCACCAGGACTGCCCCGCGACCAGGCTGCAACGCAGTTCATGTTGCAGCCGGCGCGTCTAACTCTGCAAGTGGCAAAACGCCTTTGCAGCAGCCGCCCGCTTCTTCAGGAAAAGGGGTGGGGGATACACAGTAAATACACGTGAGGTTTCCAACCACAGGGCTGCAGTGCGCGTCAAAGCCCCGATGAGGAAGCCCGGGGGGGGGTGATGCAAATCAGTTGCATTTGATTGCACACATTTGTATTCTTATATTAGCATTTTTTACTGCTCGGTTTCTGGTTATTTTAGGGAACTAGTTTTGGTGTCATGTTTAAAAACAAATACGCAAAACACTATATAATGTATATAACGCTTTTTATTTCTGCCTCAGTGGTCCCCGAAAATGTTGCCCTATTTTGGCCGGTCCCCCGCTGTACAAGGTTGAAAACCACCGAGGCAGCCCATACCGGTCGCCTAGCCGGCCTGGCCTACCTCGCAGGGCTGCGCTTGGGCGCGAGGGAGCACGGAGGGGCGTGGCCAGCTGCTCGCGCGGGCCCTGCGGGCGGGGCAGCGGGGAAGACGCGCGCCTCCGGGCCTCCCGGGGCGGGGCGGGGCGGGGCGGGGCGCGAGCGCGCACCCTACTCTGCGCATGCGCTCCTCCGGCGGGCGCGTCGGCTCGCGGCAGGGCGGGAGGCGGCTGCACGCCGGCGCGGGCTCTGAGGCGACGGGACTGCGGAGCCCATGTTCCTCAGCCGGCGGGCCGTGGAGCAGCGCCGCGGCGGCACCGCGCTCAGGGCTGGCGCGCCCACCGGCCAGGCCGCGAGCTTCGGCGCGGGCCCGGCCGTGAGGCCGGCAGAGCAGGTCGCCGCGGCGCGGCTCGGCCCCGCGGGGCGGCGGCGCGACG